GGGGGACATGGGTCGTCCTTCAGGTCAGAAAGTCAAAAGGGGGGCAACTGACCTTCTGCCCCCTCGCAAGCCAGGTGGCCTGAAGCCAATCTGCATCATTATGGGCTCTCCATGCTCAACGCCTTACGATGCTCATGTTGACGGCTTTGCCTGGATCATGCCTCGCAGCTTCCTAAAATCCGTGGACCAATCCTTCAATTAAGACTGTGCGCTTAGCTCCATTCTGGGACTGAAATCGGATCCTTGAAGCTCAGAATAGGGTCAGAGGAGCTTCGTTCTTGAACTCTTGAGTATGGGCCTTTTGACTCCAACGGAGGGTGGCGGATGGGTTCCAGGACTTTTGGGGTCCTGATAAGGAACAGAATGGACTCCTCAAGTGTGAAAGTTGTGCTAAAAGAGTAAATTGGCTATGGGCCTTTTGACTCCAACGGAGGGTGGTGGATGGGTTCCAGGACTTTTGGGGTTCTGATAAGGAACAGAATGGACTCCCCAAGGGTGGAAAGTTGTGCTAAAAGAGTAGATTGGCCACCCTTCAGTCTAAACAGATAATGGCAACGTGCTCTGTATGGAGGTCTTGGGAAAGCGTCTGGTGTGGCTGAGAAGGCCAATTCGAGAGTGACCATCCCTTCCACATTGAAGACAAATACAGTCTGTCCCCTGTCCATCTCCCTGGTTTTGCTGGTTTTGGGACGGCCTCTTGGCCTCGGCCTGCTGGACAAGGGTCTCTTCAAATTGGGAAAGGCCGTGATGCAACGCCTGCCTCCAGGCTGAACGCTCAGATGTCAAGGTTTCCCATCTCTTGAGGTCTATAAAAGAGTATGGGATGAGTTAAGTCAGGGTAAACACTGTGCCCTATTTAGAGAGCTGCAGAGAATACGAGAAGGATGTTACCCATCCATTGACCATACTTTGCAGGAGGAACTTCACCAGATCAACACAACATCAGTGGACATTTCCAGGCTTCCTCTGTCATAAACCAGCCTCCACTGAGCTGCTGGATAACTTGGTGGTTTTGGTCTCCAGCTGAGGAGCCAGAGGTTGGGAGTTCGATTCCCCCGCTCAGCTTCCTTGACAGGAATGGTGCTTGATGATACAAAGGGTCCCTTTCAGCTCTGCAATTCTAGGATGAGGATGAGGATTTGGTAAGGATCAGAAGACATTTGAGCTTCTGTAAAAGGGTCCCTTCCAGCTCTGCAATTCGAGGATGAGGATGAAGATTTGGTAAGGGATCAGAAGACATTTGAGCTTCTGTAAGAAAATGCTTTTCTTCGGGGACTGAAACGTTTATCTATTTCAGGATCTGTTCTCAAATCATCCCAGAGTGCAGGACACGCAACAAAGGGCTCAAGTTACAGGGAGCCAGATTTCGGTTGAATATCATGAAAAACTTCCTGTTAGAGGAGCATGACAATGGGACCCATGACCTCGGGAGGTGATGAACGCTTCAATGCTGGAGGCCTTCAAGAGAAAATTGGACAACTATCTGTCAGATCTGCTTTGATCTGTATTCCTGGATCGAACGGGGCATTGGACTCTCTTCCAGCTTCATGATTCTCTGATTCTATGATCCAGAGAGGGGGCATCAAGAAGATGAGGAAGGCCAAGCCAGAGGAAAGCTGAAACTCTACACAATCCTCCCTGGTCGGACCATCCAGTTCCAGACTGGGAAGTGGTTTGGCCAGACTCACAGTGAGGACCACCAAGGCAGACAATAATTTCATCTGTTTGGTTGGCATTGAGCAGGAATGTTGCAATGTCTCGTGGTGTGTATGTGTGTTGTGTGAACAAAAAAAGCTGTGAAGCAGGACTGTTGATGAGGTAGAGCCTTTCAGATATTATAGGACGGCAATCTCCACCATCCATCTAAGGCTGATGGGAGTTAGAGTTACAATTAGGATATTCCTTGTATTTTTCTGGACTGCCACAACACAGGATTAATAACACACAGCAGCACATCATAACCCAGTGCTTCTTGACCTTGGGTCTCCAGATGATCTTGGACTACAACTCCCGGAAGGCTGTGCTTTGGAGAGTTTTAGTCCAAAAACATCTGGGGACCCAACGTTGGGAACTGCTGGCATAACTTGCATGGCGGAAGCAACGATAAGAACCACTATTTGGTTGATGAGTCACAGAACTAAAGGTAAAGGGGATCTATGGAGCTAACCAGAGGTCTGGCCCTTTCTCCTTTCAGAGCAGAAAGGCAGGGGATCCTTGCCCCAAAATTCACACACCATGAGCAACACACGGGGACGGAGATCGAGGCATCACCAGGAAGGCTGGGAAAAGCCCAGAGAGCACTATTTTAAAAAACAGCCCATCCAGGGTGCAGTGGAGGTCAGGAACATCTCAGAGAGCCCTTGGTTGAATTCTTCAAAGATGGTGGAAGCAAGCGAATAACACAACAACTTTAGCGACTATAACAGGCTGCCCACAAACCAGAGCTGAACCAAAAAGCTCTCGATTCCCACTGCGGACGCTGGACATGGGATTGGAAAGGGACGGCCAAGTAGGTACAAGAACAGAGGCAAGTTCCCATCCCAGCCGGCAGCCTGTACTCTCCAGTAGAGATCAAGGAAGAGGTACGAGTCCCCCTTTATTTAGCACTGGTGAGGCCTCCTCTAGAGTCCTGCGTCCATTTCCGGGCACCACCTTTCAAGAAGGATGCCAGCACACTGGAACAAGCTCAGAGGAGGTCAACAAGGGTGATCAGGGATCTGAAAACGGAGCCCTGTGAGGACAGACTGAAAGATTTGATCATGTTCGGTGTGAAGAAAAAAAGACTGAGGGGTGATCGGATAGCACTTTTCAGAGACTCGAAAGGCTGTCACTCAGAGGAGGGGGCAGGATCTGTTCTTGATCATCCCAGAGTGCACACACAACCATGGGCTCAAGTGACAGGAAGAATTCAGATTCAAGCTGAATATCAGGGAAAAAATTTCTTAACTGTTAGAGGAGTATGGCAATGAAATCAATGACCTTGAGAGGTGGTCAGGGCTCCGGCGCTGGAAGCCTTCAAGAGAAATTTAGACGACCCCCTGGCAGATATCGTCTCGATTCCCACTGCGGACGCTGGACATGGGATTGGAAAGGGACGGCCAAGTAGGAACAAGAACAGAGGCAAGTTCCCATCCCAGCCGGCAGCCTGTACTCTCCAGTAGAGATCAAGGAAGAGGTACGAGTCCCCCTTTATTTAGCACTGGTGAGGCCTCCTCTAGAGTCCTGCGTCCATTTCCGGGCACCACCTTTCAAGAAGGATGCCAGCACACTGGAACAAGCTCAGAGGAGGTCAACAAGGGTGATCAGGGATCTGAAAACAGAGCCCTGTGAGGAAAGACTGAAAGATTTGATCATGTTCGGTGTGAAGAAAAAAAGACTGAGGGGTGATCGGATAGCACTTTTCAGAGACTCGAAAGGCTGTCACTCAGAGGAGGGGGCAGGATCTGTTCTTGATCATCCCAGAGTGCACACACAACCATGGGCTCAAGTGACAGGAAGAATTCAGATTCAAGCTGAATATCAGGAAAAAAAATTCTTAACTGTTAGAGCAGTATGGCAATGAAATCAATGACCTTGAGAGGTGGTCAGGGCTCCGGCGCTGGAAGCCTTCAAGAGAAATTTAGACGACCCCCTGGCAGATATCGTTTGATTTATATTCCTGCATTGAGCAAGGGGTTGGACTAGGTGGTCTTAGAGGCCAATCACAAGTCCATGATTCTACGACTATCCATCTTGACAGGCTAGTCAACAGCTCCAGAAAAAAAGTTCTCATAGGGATTGCCAGCCTGTGATTTCCACCAGAGATCAAGGACTGGGAGTCTCCCTCTGCCCAAGGCTTACATTGAATTTCAAAGAAATGGTGGGGGAGGTGTCTGCCTACTGAGGTGCAAGGGGCCAAAGGCAAATGGGTCTAGCCAAACACACCAGCACAGAGATCATGTTCGGTGTGAAGAAAAAAAGACTGAGGGGTGATCGGATAGCACTTTTCAGAGACTCGAAAGGCTGTCACTCAGAGGAGGGGGCAGGATCTGTTCTTGATCATCCCAGAGTGCACACGCAACCATGGGCTCAAGTGAGAGGAAGAATTCAGATTCAAGCTGAATATCAGGGAAAAAATTTCTTAACTGTTAGAGGAGTATGGCAATGAAATCAATGACCTTGAGAGGTGGTCAGGGCTCCAGCGCTGGAAGCCTTCAAGGCAAACTTAGACAATCCCCTGGCTTGCAGAGATCCTCTTTCCAAAGTCTTCAGATCCCGCTTGCGGATATCCTTGTATCGCAGCTATTGTCTCCCTCTGGGGCAACTTCCCTGCACTCATTTCTCCATACAAGAGATCCTTCGGAATCCGACCATCAGCCATTCTCACGACATGCCCAAGCCAACGTAGACATTGCTGTTTCAGTCATGTACACCCGCATAGTTTTACTAATAAATCTCTAAACCAAGCCAACACAGACATCGCTGTTTCAGTCATGTACACCCACACAGTTTAACTAACAAATCTCTAAACAGTATTTTAGGAGATGCAATTCAACCTTTTAGAATGGGGGGGGGATATTAAGATAGGAAAGTACCACAAATGTGGATATCATTGGGATAACGATGGAGGTGTCTGGCAAACCTCAGAAACGCCACATTTTGCCCCAGGGCTTGGAGCTGCCAACCCCCTCCACTACGTGCTTTGCATCTCTCCGCAAAGAGACTCCACTATTACTCAACGCCCACAGCTCTGCAGAAACACACACCGCTTCCACGTGTATCCTTTCAAAATGGTTCTTTTCCAGAAGAACTCTCCAGGAAGAAATAAACAACCCACAGCATAAAGAGTCAGGGCTTAAGAAAACCTAAATATAGTTCTGTCCAGAGAGCGATCAATTGGACAAAATGGAGGCGATAAACACATAACCATCACAAACACATGCCATCACCCTCAAAGCCAGAACGGCTCGGTTTCCATCCTTGCTCTCTTTTATTCATCAAGGCCGCTATGAAATCTTTACCTCGTCGCAGCCATCATCCCCAGGAAGACAGGACGTCTGGGCCTCATCCTCATTCAGGGGCTCAATCACTGTCACCTCAGCAAACTCCTCCACGGATGTTTGAAATTCAGGCAAGGACCGCCGGCCGTAGCGCTTCCCGCCCTTGATGTATTTGGGTTGGGCTTCCGGGGAAGAATCTGCAGAGGAGAGACGGAAGCCAAGAGATTAGAAGTAAGAAGGAGAGTAAATCAATTTTGTTGCATTCACACCCCTTTGTTATAGCTAGAGGGGTGTGAATGCCATCCTCTTTCATTCGGTCACAATTATTCATTTTACAAATTGCAACAGATTCCTTCTGAGCCCATTTTTAGCTTGGCTGCAAACTGATTTGTACCCAAATATTTTAAAGCTCTTGTATAAATTTGCATTTGTCCAAGCAGTTAAAAAAAAACCCTGCCCAGAACATGGGTTTAATCCCAGGTAGCTGGCTCGAGGTTCATTCTGCCTTCCATTCTTTCAAGGTCAGGAAACTGAATACCCAGCTTGCTGGAGAGGTGGAGACAATGTGCAGCCTGCGTAATAAAACTGTAAACCACCCTGCATGGAAGCACTCAGGCCAGAAAGCAAGCCACAGCGGCTGGTGGTGGCTCCAGTTCCAGGTGTGTTGTGGATCCATGCTGGGTTTTTATTTTTACCTTATGGGAATTTTACATGCTGCTGAACACTATTCCCAAAACAGGTTCAGAACTCTGGATAACTCCCATAAAGACAACTAAAACGTAAAGTACATTCACTGCATTGCCAAAATTGGAGTCCTCGGCTGCCTCAGCAAGCAAGCACACACACACACAGAAACACATGGAGGCAACACATTCATTCAAATACTGCCTCACCTTCACGCTATTCCTCTCTCCCTTCCTCTCTCCCTTCCACTCTCTTTTCCTTCCTTCCTTCCTTCCTTCCTTCCTTCCTTCCTTCCTTCCTTCCATCCATCCATCCATCCATCCATCCATCCACTTTCCTGTTCCAGTTTGGTCACAGAACCGGGCAGTTGACTTCTTCACCCATGTATTCTCTCTTTCTCTCTCCCACACCTCTGCACACAAACACACACAACCCCCCCCCCAATACGATGAAGTTCGGAATTTGCAAGCCAATCTGCATCATTTCTAGTGCTGCAGGGGCCAAACGGTCCAATGGATACTTCTGGGGACGCCAGGGAGACCTTAGCCTCCCTTCTCCCCACACAATCCCTAGATCTCAAGAAGCTGGCAAGGAACGTTAAAACCTGCCCGTCGCCGCCAGCTGCGGTGTACGTGCAAAGTGCACAGTGTATGCGTGTCCAAAGCTGCCGACACAGAATGCTTGTTCTCCGGGGTAACAAGGCTGTGATCCCTGCTCTCACAGAACGGTAGACTTGGCTGTTCAAATTATAACTCAAGAAATGCCCGGTCCCACAATTTTAAAAAGGAATTGTGCTGAACATTTTTAAGACAGAGGGTCTTCTCTTGGCGCACGCCGTGACTGGGAGCTGATCTTCAAGGCAAGGATGAACTGGTAGCTTTTGGGTTTGATGTATTAAAAGTTCTGGCAAGGATTTTTTTTAAACTCCAGAAAAAAACCCCAGCAAGGATTCAAAAGCAAGAGACCAGAATCTATCCCAGGTACCCATTAGAATGCAGGGAGAGGCTGGACGTAACGTCTCCTGTGTCATCTGCTGTCTATATAAACTCCATCTTGGAGCTTGTTAGCGGAAATGTATTCTGCAGCTTAGCTATGCAATGAATTATAAAATACACAGGACTGGGAACTCTTTGATATCCCCCCCCTTCCCTTCATTTCCCTTGGACTTAAACTCCCCCCCGCCCCAATCCATGCATATTGCAAACCCTGGGGAGCACGCCCGGGCGCGTGTGTTTGAACAAGGCAATTTTAACAAGGTTTCCTGCAGCTGGGAGCCTGGACATGAAAGCCATCCGATGAAGTGCACAGATAGGGAAAATCAGAAACGAGACAGGGCTGATTAAATAAGAACCAGAAGAACAAAAGGGAACCTTATCATCGCCATTAAAGCTGGGCCTGCTGGCAATCGCCAGCCGGCAGCCCCTCTCTGGCATGTTAGCTCTTCTAGTGGATTGGCTCGTTTCCCTGCCTTGCCTTGGAGTGAGGGGCTTGCTCCGGTAATTTGGAATCGGGGGGTTATTCTAAAATAGAAAGAAGCAACCCTTCTGAGGGGTTGGAGGGTTGGAGGGGGGTTGAACTGAATGGGCCCCAGATCTGCAGAGAAAGATCAGAACAGAACTGTAGAGCACCGCCGGCTGGAGGGATTCTGGGAGTTGTAGGCTGAAAAAAACAATGGTTCCTGGCTGTTGTTACCTTGAATCGTGGTCTTTTATTGATGTGATCTGCCTGGGGTCCTTTCAGACAAATGAATAAATGACTTCAGTGTTTACTGGGAAAAATCGTAAGTTTGCAAAAATGGCCAGATGGGCTAGAACTGCTTTTCCAACTGATAACATTTTTAAAACAGCCCCAAAGCCCAAAGTTATTGTATTGGTCAGACTTTGGGTCACCCTATCTATGGTTTGAATTGTGGTGCTGGAGGAGACTCTTGAGAGTCTCCTGGACTGCAAGGAGAACAAACCTATCCATCTTGAAGGAAATCAACCCTGAGTGCTCACTGGAAGGACAGATCTTGAAGGTGAGGCTCAAATCCTTTGGCCATCTCATGAGAAGAGAGGACTCCCTGGAAAAGACCCTGATGTTAGGAAAGTGTGAGGGCAAGAGGAGAAGGGGACGACAGAGGACGAGATGGTTGGACAGTGTCACCGAAGTGACCAACATGAATTTGACTCAACTCCGGGAGGCAGTGGAAGACAGGAGGGCCTGGCGTGCTCTGGTCCATGGGGTCACGAAGAGTCGAACACGACGTAACAACTAAACAGCAACAAGCAACAATATTAAATCACTCGTTTAGAAATCTCTGCTAAAAAGCAGTGCAAGGAGCAGCAGTAAAAGGATAGATCCAGCACTGCCTTATTCCAATGAAGTCTGTATACGCTGAGATGGCTTGAACAGACCAAAGATTTTGGAGACAAACATGTTTCTTCCAGGAGGGAACTCTGGAAAGTATCACCACCAAGAAGATCCTGTCACGTGCACACACTACTCCTGGGCAAGCAAAGTAGTTTCCCTTCCAGAGACATCAATCCTGTTGCTGAATGCAGTCTGCTTCCACTGGAAGAAGAAGAAAGATGAGCCGTGAGGATGCCTAGAATGCACGGTCCCCGTAGCCTGTACATGTTCATGCAATCTCTGGTCCTTACAAGCATGCTGTGAAAGGTCAAGGTCGCGTCTGCAGTTGCAGGAGCCTCCAACTTGACTTTGCTTTGAAACGAAAGCACAGGCAAAGCAGAAAAAAAGCTGGCCTTCGTTTGTTGAGGCCAGCGGCATATTCCCCTTGACTTCGTTGGCAGCTCCGGGAGGGAGTGGAAGACAGGAGGGCCTGGCATGCTCTGGTCCATGGGGTCACAAAGAGTCGGACACAACTAAACGACTAAACAACAAACGACAAACGACATAAACCAACAAATGGTTTGTGTCTGGTATATGGGCATGCTATTAATTACATCTGCACCATCCAGCTGTCTGTTTATTTTTCCAGTAGCAGCTCATGAGATTGTTCATTTTTGGTTTATACGTTGTACTCTTTCTGCTGCTAGTGCTCACAGAGATCCCTATAATCCCTGTGTCCAAATAGACTTCTAAGTCGTTTTGCTTTTGGCCAAAGGAAGGAAGGCTCATAAAAGTGTCAGGAACTTGATCCTTGTTCATAAGGTGGCCATTTTTTAATGCTGCCGCCACCCATGAAGGAGCTAGAAAGTGCCAGGATGTGTCACTAGAATCCAATATCATCCACGCTCTTGTATTTCTGAATCGCCATGTATGGGTGTGAAAGCTGGACAGTGAAGAATGTGAATAGGGGAGGGGAAATGATTTGTTTGAAATGTGAGGCCGGAGGAGAGCTTTGTAAGGACTGTGGACTGCCGGAAAAATGAACAAGTGAGTCCTAGATCAAATCCAACCCCAACGATCTCTGGAGGCAAAAATACTGATCCTGAGGATGTCCTACTTTGGGCGCATCATGAAGGGCAACAGATTCTCTGGACAAGGCAATCATGCTGGGAAAGTTATAAAGGCAGCAGGAAAAGAGGAGGACCAGATACAGGATGGGCTGACTCCTTAATGGAAGCCACAGGCTTGAGTCTGCACGAGTGGCTCAGGGCTGGTGAGGGGAAGGACATTTTTGAAGATGGCTCATTCATAGCCTCTCCAAAAAGTCAAGAGGTGACTTGACAGCACATGACAGGAACAAAAAAAGAACAATCTAGCTTGCATAAAAGTGCATTTGCTGCATCATATGTATGGGTGCAAAACGGTCAATGACTTTTATTCTGTATACAAAGCTAGAAGCAGGCAATATATGTGCCTTGGCTACTGTCTAGGGGCTGCTCATGTCAAAGGCCACACTCTGCTTGAAGGCCCTTCTCTTTCCATCAGGCCCCTCAAGCAGAGGACACCCTTCCGAAACAGAACTGCCTTCCAAATGCCCTTCACATAGGAAACTGGCCTTTGTAAAAGAGGCCCCACGCCCCACGCCCCCTCGCTTCTCAATGTCACTTGAAATCCACATCTTACAGACAGGAGTCTCAAATCGCAGGAAGGTCTGGAAAAGGGAGGAGGAAAGAAGAACGAATGCATGGGAGAAAATTATTATTTCCATAGAACCCTCTGTTTCTGCCCCAAGGGGTGTGGGGGGGGAGAGGCGATTTAAGACACAAGCCCCCTCCCACGGCAGGACCTTACGAAGTAACTGTAAAGGTCATCCAAAGGCCAGGAGGAGGTCAGACGCCTTTGGCTACTAGAATCCAGCAGCCGGACCTCAGCCGAGATCCCTGAATACAGAGCGGGCTTCGCTCAAGTGCACAGAATCAGCCTTCAATGGGTGGAAAGCTGCGCCCCCCCTCCACCTACACTGCTCATCTGGCCACCAGCCATCGCCAGAGGCTATTCTCTGTTATGAATTGACATCAGGGGCTAAGCACACACACACTCCCCCCTTCCAGCACAATATATATCTATATCTCCACCTATTGACTTTCTGAACCCATCGCTCGCTCCAACCGGAGGCTGGGAA